ATACTTAATTGTTGGCCGAACATGGCATCTATCATCTGCGGATGATTAACGCACCGCTTCTCCCCTCGATTAATACATCAAGATCGCAGCGGAACCTGCAGCCAGCAAGGGAACACGACGTTGCAACAACAACAGAAAAGGCAAACGCTGTCACAATAAATTTAAATAAATTGTTGACAAACGCCAATAAACATAAATTTTTGGTGTGCAGCAAAGCAAAGCGGAGAATTGTGGTTGTCGGAGACGCGGGTAGAGGGTACCGGAAACCGCACTGTCAATCAAAAAACGTGGAAATGCTGGGAAGTGGAGAAGTGCCAAGCGGGACTTGTAGTATGTTGCATAACCTGGTGATGGGTAGTGGGGCATAGGAAAAAATATATCCCTAAAGTGGGTCATTTCAGCTCTGTGATTAGTTACTTATTTTATATTTTTTATTTATCACAATTAAGCCATAAAGTCGAAGCTTAAGTAATTAGGTTTTATGATGTAAGCAGTGTCATTTTATATTTAAAATTAACTCAAATATAAATAGGCTTAAAGTTACATAAGAGGAATTGTTTGCTCAACAAAGCATCTTCACCTTTTAGGTTTAGAAATTTGCAACAAAGTTATGAGACCTCTTTAAGACTTTAAAAGATAAAAGGTTAAGTAATCTATTATGGTGTTAAATAACTTTCTTTGAATATTTTATAATAATGAGAAGACAGAATCAAACCTCACTGAAAATCATTTCCAACTTTACAACTATTTTCTCTGATTTTGAACCATAATTTTCAGATAACTAAAACTTCTTCAAAACCCCTATAAATTCTGTTTTTATAATAACTTACAATTTCCCTCATGATAACATAAACTTCTATTATGATTTCTCATACAAACTGTTTATAAAATATTTTATTATTATTACTTTATTATTACTCTGCATATTTTCTTTCTGGGCGGCAGATGGAGGGCACATGTACCGGCGTTGGGCGATAATTAGAGGAGCTGCGCGTTTGTTTATGCAAATCGGGATACGTAATAACTCAATTAGATGTTGCAACTTGCAACGTGCCACCGACAGAGGGCTGCTCCTTTTGTGATTGCGCTCGAATGCGGGCAAGTGGCACATTGACCGGGCAAACTGAACTGAACGGAGCTCACATGGTTATTGAGTGCTGGCCTTTGAAGGGTGGGGGGTTTTTAGCTTTATTGATGTCCCGTTGCTTTGTGGCGGACAATTGTCGTCATCGACAGAGCGACCTCGTCATTTAATTGTAAGTGAAACTACGCTTCGTTGTCGTATAATGGTATATAGTATATACCCCATATATATATGCCCCATGTGTTGCCAGTATGTGGTGCGAGGTTCCCCCATTGTGCGAGGTCAACTACGGGACTACTCCGCCAAACCAAGTGCCGTCTCTAGTAGTCTTTTTTTTGTACTGCCTCCATCCAGCTCTATGACAAGGCACCATCGGAATCCCGGGCTGTTGACAAAATAAAACACACTTTAATTGATACATTTGCATTTTATTATAAATGCAGCAGCACTGGGACGCGGCGCTAGCAATGAATATTTATGCAGCTTTTATGGGTCAGTGCAGCGTGGCAGCGGCATTGCAGCTGATAAATATTTGCCAGCATCTGGCAATCGATGACAGCCAGCACGGGCTCTGATATCGATTACATGCGAACAGGTGCTGGGCAAGAAATTAATTATTCAGCCGCGTTGCGATGCATTTCTGCAGTTCATTTGCCAGTCGGAGTTCGGATGGCCAGAAAGCAATTATGGAGTCTCTGAATGTCAATATGTGTATCAAGTGATTTCCCGAAATAATTGGTTGGGAATTATAAGCTATAAGGCAGAAGCACCTTGAAAGATACTTAGACCTACAGATCAGATTGAACAGTCTTTTAAGGAAAGCACAAGGTTAAGATTGTCATTAAGGAAATCTTTGAAAAAATCACCTTTATATTCGCAAAGCTGTTTAGAAATTCCAACAGTAACCTACCTTAGCTTCTGAATCAGTTCTCCGAATGAAAAATCTTTCAGATAAACCTGCAGCAAAATACCAATCAGTGGTGCATACCCAAACTCGTATATCTGCCAGAAATCAGCGGCCAACACATTAGATCCCAGCTGGAGCTGGTGTTGAAGGTTACATGTGCCGGCATTGTCGACGAAGGAGGAGGTTCTACCTCTGAGTGATCAGATCTCAAGGCACCAGTCACATGACTAACCCCATAGAATTCGTGGTCTGGGACAAACATGGGTGGGGTTCGTTTTGAGATCACCTTGCTTCGAGCAGGGGAAACCAGAGCTTATCGTACTCCATTTTGCGTGTGAAATTCAATAAGTTAGACTGACTGCAGGCTGTTTAGCATAGAAAGACAAACTCATACTCGTACATAGGTCCACGAACCCCGCCAGCTGATGCATATCTAGATGTCTCTCTGTTTGTGTATATATTGACTAAATTGTTTGCTGGGTGTGGCGCAAAATGCACGACAAAAGTGTTCGTGTTGTTGATTTTCATTCTGTGGCATTGTTGTTCGGCATGTTGTAGTTCAATTTATGACGCTTGTACCGCTTGACTTTTGCGCAGGCGTTGAAAGCCCAACAACAAGCTGGCCTTTTTGTTTCCAACCAAACAACAACAACAACTCCAAAAATCAAATTGAGCTGCTACGAATAATATTTAGGTTTGTTAGGACCGTTCTATCTCGGTTTGTTTGCTGTTTTATTCGATTTCGTGTTAATTTCCATTGAACACAATACGTCACAGTCGAAGGCACATAGCTCGGTGTGTGTTTACAATTCCATTTAGTGTCCAACATCCAGAGATTGGACTCAATTCGATCTGTTTTGGGCATGACAAGTTGTGCGATCGATTTGATATGTTTACACGGCTCGGGAAATTGATATGTCAAACAAAAAAACAGTTGTCGGGCGAAATGTCTCCTCTAAAGTCGGCGGGAAAAGCACTCTGTTCAATTCACACTGCCACAGACGGTGCTTTATTGCCCCGAAGTGGGGAAGTCGTTTCTTCGAATGGTATGTCTTAATTTGAGAACTTCCTACACAGACCAGACCCATTGACCTGATTTGCTTGCCCTTTTATTGGCCATTGATTTGTGGCTTTCCCACAGTCGAACAGCTGAGTTATAGTTGGAAAATCACAACTTAATTAAGTCTAAAAAGTTGCAAGCACAAAGCAGATTAAAGTACTTAAGAAACTGCATTTTGTAGCAATCAAAAGCATGTCCTTGGCTTTTACTTTACTGCCATTTTAGCACTTAAAAATAATATCATGAGCAGCAATTTAATCTGAAAATTATATCAGATATAAATTTAAATCCAAGAAAATGAAATCAAATAACAATCGAAAAGAGGTAGCAATTATTTTCCACACTCTCAACACTCTGATATCAACCCACATTCGTTGCAAAAACAGATTTGCATCTGAGTCTATCAATATCCATTTCGTTTAATCGCTCCACAAACCCCAATCCATTTGACGTTCTCCAATATCAAATCCATTAGCCATTGATTGTTCTCCAATCTCCATTCACACATTCGAGGACTGCAATTGGGCTAATTCCGACTCGATTGGTCGACCGCTGAATCGGTTTCAATTGTCATAATTACGCCCACTCAGATGGTTTCTGCAGCTGCTATCTGGATTTTATTTCTTCTATATATAATATTATCTCTTTTTTTTTATATTTTTTTGGAATTGCTGGCAGCTAATTCTTCTGACAAGGCGCTAAGCAGCCGCGACAGCTCACCGATTATCTCCGACAATTATTTGTTGTCTTCCGCCACGAAGCGGCAGTGGCAGCGGCAGCGGCAGAGGCAACCTTGAAATTAAATATAATTATGAAAAAGCATTCCCATTCACACAGGGCCTTCCCAGCCATCGAATGATATTTCATATGGTTAAGGCCGGCGACGTGCCTCAAATGAAAAATAATTTAGGATGCCGGCGCACGCACACTTCAAAAATAAAAATCCGAGCGCCGAATCAATAATAAAACCACCGAGCCCGCCCCCTTCCTCTCGTCCAGCCCACGTTTGCTAGTCAACCAGGCAACACAACCTTTATTTATTTATTATTTTGTCTCCCCCCTCTCCCTCCCTCTCTTTTGTATTTTTGCCCAGGCAATTATAATTAACTTCGCGGCGAGTTTTGATTTCTTCTCCGCGGAGCAGACTCTTTTTCCTCTTCTCCATTTCTCCCTTTTTATTTGACTCTTCGCTGTGCCCATGGGCTGATAATTTTGTTCGCACCTGATCGCGTTACTCAAAGATCAGGTTTTGTCTCCCTCACTCTGCACTGAGAGAAAAAACTGCACTACAAGTATATCAATCTCTTTGAAATGCAAAACCATTTAAAAAATGTTGTTTTCTTCGTTATAAAATCTTTCAAAATGTTCTTTCAAATTCATAAAAATTTTTACTTCCCAACTTTTATTTTCAGTGTAATACATATCTATCTCTTTCCCTCAAAAAACTGCGTGTAGATCATTAACAGAGCTAAAGTTTCAGCCGGAGATCTTGAACTCATTCAGCCTCTGCGGTTGCTCAGTTTTTGGTTAGTTCTTATTTTTCGGCCAGACGCGAGGTTCTCTGAGGCCATTTCCCAGACAATGGAAACTTTCATTTGTCTTGAGGTTTTTACTTTTAAACCAGATCCAACGAAAGTACTTCAGGTTAAGTTAATGGGCTGGGCCTAATGGGTTAATGAGAACCAGCCGAGAGGGTAATTGGAAAACCAGTTTCAGATCTTAACGGCCGCTGATCAATAATAAGTTCAAGCTGGGCCTTAAAGAACCTAATCCCGGTGGACTTAGCAGGCTCTTACATAAACGTAAAGCGAAAAGGGTTAACCTTTAAAATTTACAATGTCCTAAGGTCGCTGTTTTTATGACAAGGGGACGGCGGCCCACAGAAATGAAAGCTGTGAAATAAACCCCAAAGAAAAGCCCAACCGAAGAAAAACAAATGGAGAAAAAGGATGGCTCGAAATGAAAATAAAACACAAACCGAAACAGAAACAGAAACAGAATCTGGCAGCCAGCGAGGAAAATGGAAATGGCAGGAAAATTCAAATCACAAACTCGGTATTTATTTGCGAAGCGTAAATGATTACCACTTAAAATGTGCTCGACTGCCACCTAAAAACCAATTGTTGGAAAAAGCACAACCAACTGAGTGGGTGTTGGGTTGTGGCTGTGGGTGGGCTGAAGGACACGGCAGCAGAAGGAGTAAAAGGACCAAAGGCAACATATGTTTTTTATGCCTGAGCTGTCTAAGTGGATACGGGCGGAACGAGTGCTCAGATGGAAAAAGATTGGGAGATGGTGGAAAATCCAGAGGGGGGGATGGGGCTCCTTGCTGGGCTGCGAGAAAACTGCGGGACAGCTGCCAGAGCTTGTTAGAACTCCCAAAGGGGGGAAAAATTCCCTGGCTGAGCGAAATATGGAATTCATTAAACGATTCGTTATATATAGAATAAATTGGATTGGAAAAGCAAATACCCTAAACAAAAGTGGACCAAAACTTGTTAAGCCAAGAAAGAAAGTGCTGTGTTTAATGTGTGATTTATCGGATTTAAGAACAAGCTGGGAAACTACTGGAACTTGAATATTTCGGGGTTTTAATGATTATGTGATAATTTTATATCAAAGAAGATATTATAAAATACGATTTCAGAAAAGAAATGGATTGGAAAAATCATATATGGACCCAACACCACAGAACTTACAAAGAGATAAACTAAGAAGGTCAACGTAACTTGGAAAATTTCTCAGATAGTTTAGCTTCCATAGAGTACTTTATAATTCGATCACCTAACAATATCGGTAACCATTTTATATATATATCCATTGTCGCTATTACTTCTTGTACACTTAAAGACTCCACGTGAACGAAAGAGAGAGTGACTATGCTGGGTAAGAGCAGAGAAATGGAGAAAGGAGAGCGGACTCACAGACAAAACAAATATGTTAATGTATCTTACACCCAGCGACACGTATTGGTTTCAGTCTGCAATCGTTAGATGGCATATATGAGTGAGTTATTCCAAAGGGGGGTGGCAGTTTTCCGAGCTTTCCGTTTGGGAGGGTGTGTCAGTTCGGGGGGCAACAACAAATGGGCGGCCTGTGCCGGCGTCGCCTTTTTCCTGCCTTTTTATGGTCGTCACGGACCGCCCGCAGGACGGAAAAAAGGATTCGCATTGGGGGCGACCAACCCACTTTGCTGCACGCCCTGCTCGCACATTATTTTGCCACTTCTTCAGCTGAATTTGAATTAGATTTGTGCAGCGTCTGGCGCGCGTCTTGGCATCGTGTAAAATAATATATTTATTTTTATTTGCCACACGCACACACACACACACAGAGACAGAAAGTCCAACCCCGGGACAAACACAAAAAGTGTTTTGTTTTCCTTTCAATTTGTATTTTTATTATTTTCATTTGTATTATTTTTGTGTGCTCATGAATAAAAAAGGAGTAGGAAGCGACAGCGATAGATGGCCCCAAAATTGTATGGCTTAGCCCTTTTGTGTGTTTGCCTTGGCCCCGAAGAAAAAGTTAACAAATTTTCGCATGAATATTTCGCCTTTTTGCTCCTCAAGGGTGACCAGAGGAGAGCTGCCAAGCAGCCAGGACGACCCTTCCCGAACCCATGTTCCGGGCAATGTTGACATTGTTTGCTGCTGACAGCCAAGTTTTGAGGAATTTGCTTTTAATGGACAGGCCAGACAACAACGAATTCAGAAACGAGACTTGAGACTTGAGACTGGAGAGTAGAGAGTGGAGAAACGGGCGTGAACTTGCCATTTAAATAAAGCGGCAGCAGCGGAAGTCTATTGATTTTCTTGACTTAAAGCCAGTGCCGGCTTTAATCAAAATATTTAGTTAAATGGCAGCAGGCTGACTGAATTACTGAATTACTTCATCAGCGGCTAACAAACTCTGGCTTGGCGGCGGTCTTCAAATGCCTGGATGGAATACAGTGGAACAGATCCGGAGCATTGGCGGCGGGTTCAAAGTTCTCGGAGGCGGCAACTTTCCAATTTTCACTGTGTTACCTAATTTTAATTGTCATGCCACCTGATGGCCATGATGTGGCATCAAACTCATTCTCAGCCTCCGCCGCTCTACCTGCTCTACGAAAAAAACATAGGCCTTCTTCTTTTGAGCCCAGTTCATTGTTTATTTTGCCTATTTCCTTGGTGACCTTTGTTGCATTGATTGAAACTACTTACGACCGGCGATTTCCTTCTACCGCTGACTGCGCTTTTGTGGTTTTGTCGCTTGTTTAGTTCCGATAATTCCCGGAATTTAATTGCCCTTTTCTTGTGTCAATTGTTGGGCCATTGGGCTAGCAACCAAAAGAAAGGTTGAGAAAAAAAACACAGCCCTGCCTTTGGCAAATGGCCAACAGAGTTTTTGTTTTGGTTTTACGGCCGATCAGCCAAAACAATGGCTCGGAAATTGCAAGAAATTATGGGAATATTGCATCTTTGGTAGCATTTCAGTTGCACTTTTTGTGGTCGTCGGTCGTCGGTGATTGTGATTCATGAGTTTGGCAACAATGAGCAGAGGAATCCCATTCTTGCCGCTCGTGTAAATCCACAAGGTAAACAAATTTCTTCAGCAGATGCAGCAAAGAGATTTAAAATCACATTGTGCAATGTTGCAATACATGAAGATGATAATAATTTGCAAGCCAAAGGTATTTCCTTGTTTGTTTTGGGTTTTTTAGCAATTAAAATGTTTTTGGTTTAATTTGGTATGAAATCTTACAGGAAATGTTAAAGAAAATGAAAAATAATAGATATATTTTACAAATGTAGTTTAAAAAGTTAAACTTTTATTCTGTTTTTTGGTACCAATCATTTTAACCAGATTTCACATTTAATGAAATTTCACGAAAAGGCAACTCTCCTTTTAGCCTAAGACCCTTTAAGGGCCATGTGTGTTTCGAAATCTGCTGCCTAATAGAGTTCCTGGGGCCAGGGTCATAAAGTGTCAAACATTTACTTTCGCTTCCAGCCATCGAAATGGCAGCCTTAACCCCCAAATGCCGATGCATGTTGGCAATGCGAGTCGTAAAACCTGGGCTAAGTTCAGTACCTTTTCTAGTTGTTTGCACCTTGCCTTGGCAGGGGTGTATAGATGTAGAGGGCCTACATATCAACACCCTGGAGACGAGGTCGGTTGCTATTAGCAGTACATTTCATACATTTTGTAGTGCACATAAAATGTGCTCCTTCTTACCCCCAACCCAAGCCCCTCTATATTGCTGTTTGTGTAAACTGTTGACAGACTGCGCCACAGACGCCAGGGGTTAAACAAAAGGGGTGGGGGGTGCTAAGCAAATGAGCTGCAGTCGTAAAAAAGACAATTGAGCTCATATATTCTACACGTTGGCCTGCGTTGACAGATCGTAAAAAGCCGTCAGCTGAAAACTCCACAACGCCTCGATGCCGAAGACTCCCACATAAATATTAAGATCCAAAGACCGAAAGGCATCGTAAAAAACGCCATCAGATACCAGAAACTAGAGAACCAAAAACAAAAAATAAAAAATAATACTACAAAAAAAGGGCGGAATAGGGCACCCAGAACGGCAAAGGAAAACCATGGCGATAATGAAGAAAAACCGAAATTGATTAATCTCATTAATAAAATGCCAACCTGCATGGTGCGTGCAATCAGCGGATCTACTTTTGAGTCTATCTCCCCTCTAAAGTTGAGACAATAAAAAACGCAATCGTAAAATATGAACAGAACTCTATGCAGTCTACGCTGCATATATAGGGTTAATGCATTTTATGGCCAAGCTTTTGGTTAATTTAGCCCATAAAGGGGGTTCAACTGTCACCGGGCATAAATTTCAATAAAAAACCAAAAACCCAAACAGAAACTCGGGCATAATTTTCATAATTTCTTGTTTTCCTTCTCCAGGCCGTTGTATGTTTTTTTATATTTTTATTACGCAATAGCTAATTAAAATTTCAATACTAAAATGTTTGCTCATTACGAGAAGTCTTATCAGTGCCTGCCCATCGCCATCATCATCATGAAAATCATCCAGCGGGCCTATTAAACTCAAACATTTCCTCAACTTTGACTCACAAATGAGGCTGTCTGAGTTAGGGGGTACATATATTGAGAGCCAGAGGCAGGTGGATTTTATCTCAGTGCATGGCCAAACAAATGCCTTGTTTCTCAGCATGTTTAACTTAAATAAATAAGCGAATATAATGCACATTATACTAAATTAGATATGTGCGAAGATAGCAGGCCAACAAAACTGCTTCATTTGCCGATCAAGGTGAAGTGATTTAATTAATTGCAGCTGCCCTGTAAGCCAAATCAGTCGGAATAGCCCGGTATTATGCGGGTCTAAGATATCACAGCCGATATAAGACATTCCATCGCAGAGAGTTGGGGAATATTAATTGTTCCACATTGTTCCGGGGCTGCAGTCAAGGTCCGTAGAAAACGAAAGACAATTTGATAGAAAGTGAAGGGAATTAAAGTCAGAGATGGTGATTAATATATAAGATTAATACATAAGACAATGTTTATTAATAAAATATGTTTAATATGGGGGCATCTTCAAGCTGAGCTTGCAGTTTCTAAGAAATTTGTAAGTAATTTAAAGGATTAATTGATGCTGCGACCAAATACTAATAATTTTAAGTTTAAGTAAGAGAAACTTCACACCTAATACTCTTTCTGCTCAGAAATAATATATATAAAATATACATAAAGTAAAGAAAACATCCTCTAACATACAAATTCCCAACCCCAAAATTTATGGACTAAAAACCATCATCAATATTTTCAGTTAAGGAGAAAATCACAGATAAGAAATCATTATTCCCGGGTCATAAAAACTTGAGTCGTTTCCTTTTCCACTTCACCCCACATAAAAACCAATAAAATTTCCCACTTAACTGCATTTATATTTAGTATTTAAACTTTCCAAGCCTCAGCCGACAAAGCCATTTTCATTAGCTTAGTTAACCTCTATTATTAGACCCGGCAAAAAGCTATGGCAAAAGCAAAACCAATGACCCAAACCGCAGACATGTAAGCTCATCTTTGCCATTAAGAGCCCATAACCCATCGCCTGTATATGAGCAATGGATATATATATATAGATATAGCTGGCATATCAATCAATGGTCAAGTCGGTTCGCTTGTTTGGCCCCTAGATGCTTATCGGCCACTTAATAAATTTCTCTGTGGGGGAGTCTCCAGATTCATCTTCATCTTCAGCCGAAGCCCAATACCAATCCCAATCCGATGATGAAGCTGCTGGAGATGGCATTTGATTTTAAACGGTTTGGCTACGCGTGCTGATTTTATAACTTGGCTGGACATATCATTTTTTATGAAATCAAAAACCGAGGGCCCAGCGATTTTGGGCAAGTTAATTTGTTGCTTGACTTGAGTCTTGATAAGATCTCCCCAAAACCCAAAACTAGTTTCTCTGTCGGATTTGTCATATCACTCATTCGATTTGATGCTGGCCATAGTTTTGTCCAATGATTTTGACAGGCCTCGATAGCAAGTTCTCGAAAAGAGCCACACGGTGTTAGTGTGTGTGTTATGCCATCGGCAATCCATGCTCCACTTTTTATGAGGCCCATAAAGTTACTTCAGACGCGCCATATAAACATTTATGGCCTTTATTTAAATAAAAATAAGCATAGTTAAACATTTTGGGCTAGAAAATAGGATTTGTGGCACGGCGCATGCAAAATTAGCTCCGGGCCAAGCTCTCCGCTTATAAAAACTAATTATGTGGTTATGGGTTTATGCATTTTTAATACAAACAAACACAAAGTCAGGTTAGGCGGGGTTGTGGCGTTTAAGTTGTGGCGCATAAAATGTTTGATTAGAC